CAGAGCATGGCGTTGGTCACTCACCCCTTCGTGTGTCATGCCGGACTTCATAGGTGCTACTCGTTAACAGCACTTGCCCCAACAATCTGTTGAGGCTACGATTGAGGTCTCACTGATTGCCTCGCATCCCTCGCCCGCCCTGACCCGCACCACAGTACAAGCCAATGAAACGGTACTTCCGGGTACAGTATACCGGCGAAAGGCTAAATTGGTATGCGTAGAGGTTTCCCGCTTAAGGTCGAACCCACATTATAATTCCCGCGAAATTCAAGGGTCTCCTCTATGACATTTGTGCAGAAGTATCCTGGCCTGAAACCACAATGGGGCTTTGCAAGTTTCTTCTCAGCAGGTCTGGCAAGCCAATGTTGAATAATCATTATCTGGAAATCAGTGTGGTCATCCTTTGGTTCATGAAGTTGCAATACTGTTCTGTATTGCAACCTGAATAAAATCACCACCCTCCCTCGGCAGCTTCATTTGGAGGTAAATTATTCCCGGCACGAAGACTGCTCTTAGACTGGATTTTCCCTCACACTTCCTCACAGATGGTTCATCAGCCTAGAAAAAGCAACAAATACATACAGTTGATCATCGATTATCCGACCTGTGATTATTCGGCTTCCAACATTACCCGGGGAGATGGACAAAACTGCTCCAAAGGCTGTAACCAGTCTGGCAATCAGCAACCATACGCATTCCGAAAAAGTAACTAAGCTTAATTTCAGTGTCACATTATATACAGTACATTATACACGACATACTACTCAAACAATGAAAATACTACACGAATAAAATGTTAATGGATAATAACTGCAGTTATAAAAACATAAAATATTCAGTGCCATACGGCGAAAAGTGCATGTAATTTGCATTCGCATCAGATCGTCAAACAGGTTGTTGAAACAAAAGGGTCGTACGTACATCACCCCATGTAGAGTCTTCGAGATTGGAGTGGTAAGTACAGTAAACAATTTTTTACAGGATTTGTATTCTTGTCTATTTTTGTTTATGTGTGCTCATTTCAGATGGTAAAGAAACTTAAAAGACAAAAACTGAAAAACAACACCTAAAACAATGTCACTCAAGAATGTGCAAAAATAAATGGACTTTTGTAGGATGGTACAGAGGGGAAAAGAGAGCTATGAAGTTTTCTATCCCAAGAATTTGGTGGGAACTCACTGACCACTCAAGCAACTGCTACTTCTGCATGGTGGACCCTTCCAAACGTCGGACTGACAAGAATGCACCTGCTACCACTTATCCAGACCTTCCTTCATCCATTGCCCCGGTGCCACACTTCCATGAGCTCCCCGTACCCACTACTCCGGAGAGAGAGCAGCCGTCTTTTGAAGACAGCAGCAAGTCAGAGAGCGAGGAAGACGCTGTAGATCCAGATGACAATTTCAGAGGTAGAGCTGAGGAGAGAAACCCATACTACCCCAACCAAAAATACCTCAACGACTTGTTCGGAGAATTTGGTCTCACAAAGTCCAATCCTGAGCTTTTGACGTCTAGGCTCAAGCAGTGGAGCTAGTTGGATGAGAGTGTGCAAGTCGCAGATCAGAGGAAGCGTCACCAACTTATTTTGAGCTTCTTCACCCGTCAAGATGGGCTCTGTTTCTGCCAGAATGTGAAGTCTGTTCGAGGCAATCGGAATCACCTGTAACCAGAATGAGTGGCGCCTCTTCATTGATAGCTCATCCAGGGGCCTCAAAGCCGTGCTGGTCCATAATGGTAACAAGTACCCGTCTCTTCCCCTGGCTCACTCGGTGCACCTCAAAGAGGATTACAACAGCATCAAGACCTTGTTGGATGCCTTGAAGTATGAGGAGTATGGCTGGGAGGTCATCAGAGACTTCAAAATGGTGGTATTCCTGATGGGTCTCCAACACGGTTTCACCAAGTTTCCCTACTATCTTTGCCTTTGGGACAGTAGGGGCACCAAGCCACACTACTACAGGCGGGACTGGCCACAGCAACCGAGTTCTCTGTGGGGAGGGACAACGTCAAGTGGGAGCCACTGGCGTACCCCCAGAAGGTGCTGATGCCATCATTGCACATCAAATTGGGCCTGATGAAACAATTTGTCAGAGCTGTAGATAAGGAGTCGGCAGCCTTCAAGTACCTTCCAGACTCTTCTCTAAACTGTCTGAGGCAAAGGTCAAAGCCAGTGTCTTTGTCAGACCACAGATAAAGATGATCCTTTATCTGTGGTCTGACGAAGGAGAAAGCGGCTTAGAACAGCTTTGTCGTGGCTTCCTGGGCAATCACAAGGTCGAAAACTACGTGGAGATGATTGAGAATCTGGTGAAGAACTATGGCACAATGGGCTGTAGGATGCCCCTTAAGGTCCATATCCTTGATGCTCATGTTAGTGCTTAAGTAGTAATTGGTATGTTTTGTTTACGTGACAAACCTTACTAATTGGCTGTGTCAGGTGGTGGCGGGTGTAACGAAAAATTTGTACTTACGTGATCTAACCCAAAAAAAAATCTATATTATGGGTAACAAACGTACCTTGTAAAGACACGACAATGCCAACTGGATCTGAGGTGAAACGTATATTTCCACACACACGCAGTTGCACAATACTTAACCTCTGATCGTTGTCAATCAGTGCTTGTGACTTATAAACAATTTTGGGTGACGTGGTGAGAATTCTAAGTAGTTGTGCTCAGTCAATGGTTCAGTTAAGGGGGTTCAGGTGTTCTAGAGTTATGTTTGGAATACAGTGCATAGTAGTGGCATAGTGACAGCACACCCCATGCACCCACATACTCAATTAATTTTTTTAAATGTTCACACTCTTAAGCATCCCCACACATGAGGTGCAACATGCACGCTCACATCTAATGTACACTCACACGCGGGCTTTGCCTGCACTCATCATTGTGAAAGAGTCCACACGCGGTAATCTTCTGGGAAGGACTTCATGATTTTGTAGTGACGCAGATTGGAGACAGTAATACGTGGAGGCATTTCTTTATTTCACAAGCACAATCGGGATAATACACACCCTGCGTGGATGCACACTATTGTAATTAAGACCGTCTATTGTCGGGGCACTACTTCGTTAGAACGGTTGGTAAGCTGTCTGACTAACAGCACCCTGGGATAATGAAGACGGAGATGACCATGATCTTGAACAGCACGACAGGGATTCCACTTCCAGAAACAGCCCTGAGCTTCCGCTCAGGGCCCCCTCTTATACTCCCAGCATAGCCTTGCTCCGCCCTGGCCACGCCTCCCTTCAGGAACCTCCTAACGGGTTCCCGGGGCTTCCCGATGGTCCCCTTCTGTGACCTTTCCCCTGGATGTCCCCCTCTCGTATATATTGTGGCCTGCTGATGCGAGTACTGCCATACACCGCAGTTACCATACTCTTTGGACGATCTCTTGTGTTGTGATCGAAAGGCCGTGATATATAACTTTTTATTTTATTTTTCTACCTACGTGACTTTACCAAAAGAACCCAAGAATATGGATTCCTGCAGTCACGAAAGCTTCAAATCAAGATTGAACCACAGTTACCCTTTTCCGCCAGCAGCCAGCGCTGTAACACTACATATGTGAAGAGGGGACCTTTTTTATTTTGTTGTCACCGCTCGCACACCACAGCAACACTTGTTATCAAACCAATCCTGTCCCCTCGTTTCAGTCCTTTTTATACCTCCTCTCTGCCCTTCTCTACCAATCACCCTTATCCAATTTTCCGCTCTTCTACGGTCCGTTTCTCTGCACCAGTCCGATCAGTGTCATCCACTCACCAATCGGATTGCATGTCGTGCACGTCAGTGCTCACACCACTGATCTTCATTCCCTGCCCGAGTGTGCTTTGTGCGTGTGACGTCAGTGACCTGTCCTCCGAACCTTCCCTGGTGCATCCCCCGTGCGCATAATTGACGTGTGCAGCGCTTGTGATGTCGAAGGAATTCGTGTTGTTTGTGGTGCGAGTTTGTGAGGATGGATGAGACATCCTCTAAATATGGTGAACATTTTTTCGCACCGTACGCAGCCAATACTTATAATCTAAGTAGTGTTTGCGTAGTGTAGTGGTGTATTGTATAGTGTATATTATAGTGTATAAGGGTATAGTGTAGTATATATATATTTGTTGAACTTCTTTAACACCGTACATAGCCAATCGTGTGAATCGGAAGTGCACTGTAATGCATACGCACTTTTAGGGAGCCTTCTCTTCAAGAGACCCGGGCACATGTCTAATGCACTGAAACATCACTTCCAAAATATGTTCAGCAGAATAGCAGAATTACCCTAATGCCTGAGTGGAATTGTCTATAAGGCTGAGCAGGTGGCTTTGGTTATACAGTACTTGTGGCGTGTGCCCATTGGCCAGTTGATCCCATGGCCAGCACATGTGAAAAGGAGTCTGGACAGATTTGTAATCATTGAAACAATCAGGTTGCAAAGCATTCGCCTTATTCACAGGATTAATGGTGCCACCGCAGCAGAGCAGCTCGGTCGGCGCTACCCCCTCCACGCACCCCCCCACACCCACCCCACGAACGCACGCCCCACTAAACACCCGCATGCACCCCCGTAGGGTCTCGAGGAGGGATCACGTGGTACGATGGGTTTTGACCCGAGAACTCCACTAGCAGGGACGTTCCACAGTTTCCCCGGACAAGGAAATTGGCTTAGCCGCCGAGACCGGATTACATGGCGGCCCCCCCAAAAAGGGGGGCGTGGAGCTTTACAGGCCGGCTGCGATGAAGCATGCACAACACGGGGGGATGGAAACTTCAGCCAGTACCCAGCGACAGGGTAAACAGGCCGATAAGAGTTGACTTAAGTAGGAGAGGGCGAAGGGATTATCAATTAATCACCGGCGAGGAACATAGGCACAGAGACAATGGGAAGGGGGGGGGGATAACGCGACCCCCCCCCCCCCCAACGGTCAGAGTGCTCAAACGGCCGAGGAAGAGTATTCGATTGGATGTTCATATGACCCGGGGGTTAAGGGGCTTTGGACATATAAGGGGGGAGGAGGGAGATTTGGGGTGAGAGTCCTTCTGGAGCGGCGGGAGAGACCAGCCGTCTTCAGCGTCCGTGCGACGCCTGCAGGGTGGAGCTGAAAGCGATCAATCAGAAAAAAGTTCCCAAGGCGAGCATCTTCTCCAGCCCCATCCGGCAGCTGGAGAGGTGAGTGGGTATGGAAAAGGGGGAGGTCAATTCAGTCAGCTCGAGCTTGGAGGGTAGACGCACTCTGCGACGGGTAGGTGATAGGAGATTAGGCGCGTCCGAAGGGTGCTGGCTGTAAGGGGCCATAGACAGGGGTTCACTATTCGCTTCGGGAATACAATCTTAGCACAGACTGACGTTGTGACGCGTGGTGCCTGTGTGCGTGTGAAGAGCGATGGGATAGCGATCGGCGTACGACGGTGTGTGGGTGACTTTAATCAATATAGGCACGACGCGCGCATATATTAAAATACCAACGCTTGGTCGCGCCGCAAGCGTAGCGCGCAGAGATTAATGAATGGATTCCGAGCGCCGTGGGCTTGTTGACACAACGGCTTAGTAGAAATAATTCATTAACTCTAAACAGCCACGAGCGGCGAGTGGGGGTGGAGGGGGCAGACGTCGCACCCCACCCGCTCGCGGGGAGTGGAGAGGGGGAGATCAGCCCCCACGTAATGGGGAGTGGGCAGGGGGGCACTAGCCCCCACAGCTTCACTCATCCGATCAGAGATGAGCTTGCTGTACATATGACGTAATTGAGTGCATAAGGTAAGTAGTTGAAATGCAAAATATTTTAGTGCTTTTTGAAAATATACATTTAGGATCGTCTTCTTTGGTTCTTTCGGTAAAGTCACGTAGAATGAGAATAAAATAAAAAAATGATAAAATAAAATAACACAATAATATTTTTTATCAATTTATTATTTTATTCTCATTCTACGTGACTTTACCGAAAGAACCAAAGAAGATGAATCCTTGCAGTAACGAAAGTTTTAAATCGAAATTTAGGATCGTGTTTTAATGGTTACATATGCAATGATAGAGTATCAATGTTAAGTGTTGAACATTGCTATTAGTGGCCGTCAGGTGTGGCCGTGCCTTTCTGTATGCTCCCAAGGTGTTTTTTTTAACGTACTTTATTTTTTAAAAGTAATTTAATACTCACATTAGGTTTTATAAACTTTTACATTTTCATAATTAAAAAACATGCAAAATGTCGGGAATGACTGTTGCACTTGTTTGTTTTTAGTTCTTTTGCGTGTGATATAATTGTTCTTACCCTGACATTACTTGATTAATTTGACATGATAATGGCAGGTTTCTCTGCAAGCTCACTGTACATCCCAGCTGCTGGCTGTACTAACACACATTACATGTAGTGTAGTATTTTTTTATTTATCGTGCAGTGTATTTCGCCTGCATAGATTAGGCCCCACATTTGATGTGAAGTAATCAAAGACAAACTACACGAGAATCAAACACAATAACAGCGGTAAGTGTTGTAGACCAGTCCTGCATGGCTTGACACGGCTTTGTAATATTTTAATGTTACATCCTGGACATGGATTCCACTGCTTAGTTGGATTATCAGGAGCAAGTGAAGGTTTATTGAGATTCTTAGTGAGCGGCCATCTTTAGTTTATTTGGGACAGGTTGAGAAGAAATGTATTATAATTAGGTCCATGGAACCAGTGTAGTTGAGCAAGGTACAATACATGAGGATGACAGAGGATCTGTTTGGGAAGTGTTTTTTCAGGTAATTGTCAGTTCTCTCCCTTTGAAGGGGTTCAAGATTCAAATGCGGCCGGCAGCTCTGGTTATTACTGCGGCTGCAGTAACATGAAAAAATATGCACCATCTGCTTCACAGTGGATGTTAAAGTGCCTCTGTCATTCAAAATAAATAAGTCATTCCATGCGAATGTAATTGTTAACATTTACCAAATTTTAACCAGTATCCAAAAGCTACCCACCTGAGATCAATCATCACCCCCTACTGGCAGAGGAACATCCACTTAGACCGCTGCCGAGTCAACTCATGCGGCACAGGGACAGTTTCACCATGGGAGCGGCCGTCGACTGTTTGAGATGAGATTTAACACAAGACACTTTGAGTTGCTGAGGCAATTAAGCAAGCGCCATATAAATACAAATATTTTATTAGTATCCCAAGGTGCATGCTATTGAGCTTCCGTGTCTCAGCCTCCTGGTTACAGGATCCACCCAACACGTCTGGTAATATATACTGGCTGCTACTACTCTACATTATTCAAAAATTCCACCCAAACCTACACATCGAAAATCGGCTGGGATTTGTCCCGGGTTCACTCACAGTCCAACCTCTCCTCCCGCTTTCAGCTGCCTTCATCGACGACCTGGAGCTCAAACCCTGGAGTCTTCATGTCACCTTTCCCCCTGACCATGGGTCCAAGCAAGAATGTTATCATGGTTCTTGCGTTGCGAGCTATGGGCTTATTGTGGTACTTTGAATTTCACACCTCAAATGCAGACTCTGCTCTTTATTGATCTTCTTACGCGTGTTTCAGTTTCAAAATACTTCAAAGGCCTTCAAACACAGTGTACTTGACAGGGTTTTGAATGTATCCCCTGGCGGTTGTGAAGATTTGATGACCGTGCAAACGTCTTACCACACAAAGTGCACCTGACGGGCTCCTCTTCTGTGCGTGTTCTCTGTTGTTAGTCAAGATTTGATGACCGCGCAAATGAATTCCAAGACTCAGTGCACAGTCGTCACGTCCCGTAGACGAGGGGAGTTCTGCTCTTGGTGAGGTCACAAACCAGAGATAGGGAGGCGCTGATATCACCCACTCGTGAATTTGAGGTGATGTCTCCAGAGGCGGCTTTTACATATTTAAGTAAACATGTGGTAAGCAGCGGGATATTGATGGACACCGTTATTTAAATTTAATTTAAACATTTTAATTCAATAAATCCTAGACTAGAAGACAAAGCGGTAACAAAAATCCACGATGCATTTGGAATGTGCTCTTAAAATTACCTCCTTGCTATGACACAGATCAGCAGACACGACGTCTCTTTCATTTATTGGTCTCTCCACAACACAAATAAATGTTTTACACAAACTATAAATAGCAGTCTTCATTGATTCAGTGCAAGCCACCTGTGGACCGGTATTGGTATAAAAATGTCTCAACATCAGTCGGGCTTGCTTCAACCGATGGTTACAAACATCTAGATGTTAATCAGCAAGGAGCATTTCTAGTCGTAGTTCGACGATATAAAAAACGTTGCAATGGTGCATCCTTTTGGGATATGCTTTCGCGGGTTTTGGTCTATACCCAAAACCCTAGCTAGCATCACTGTTGTTTAAATTACGGTGCAGCCTCTATTTCACGCGACGCCCCAAATTACCATGCGCGAAACACAACCAAGACCACTGCCGGTAGATTTCAAATGTAAATTGTTCACTTAGAATTGAATCTCTACAGAAAACTTACAATGTTATAGGGGAACAGGCCTACTACTTCTCCGGAGGAGAGCACGCATCACAAGCCACCATACCAACCCAAATGACCCTCGCAACAACCTGACAACCACGGTCTCACCGACTTCCTCCACCACGAATGCTGGTGGGAGAAAACCGCTGAGCAAAACTCCGAAGGCACGCACGACACACCACCCGGCTCTGGAACAGACCAAACAAAAATGCTCCAAACACCACCTCAGTGGATCAGGCACAGCTACCTAGAGCCAGATCAGCAGGCCACCTTGAGCCGGATCAGGAGCGTAATGAAATTTCCCGCCCCTTCCTCTCGGTTCCCCACGGCGGGGCCTTCCCCCATTTGGTTGGCACGGTCTGCCCACGAGTCCAAACCCCCGTGCCCACGAGCCAATCCAATCACACACACCTGCAACCACTTTCACACAAAGCCACCCCCGCGAGTCCCTCGCTTCTGCCCAAAGAAACACCCTGCCCCCCAAAGTTATCACTCTGACTGCCACACACGTATGACATTATAATTCGTGTTGTGGAGAATGTATCTCCTATACGTAACTTTTAAGTGGTATGCCTTGTAACTGATGAATGATGCGAATGTTCCTTATTTCAAAGACAATGACGTCTTCCAGAGGCAGATGCTTCCTGAATCACGAAAAATACCAGTTGACCCATATCACAAGAACAACAGCTCTCACGTGAGTTATCTGTATAGGTTACTTCCAAAACACACACTTTCTCCTAACAATCACGTATTCCATGTTTGACCCTTATAGACAAAATGTTACATGTACGCACAAAATCAGACAAGTATTCATTAAATTATGATTCTCAATTATCAATACACATATTGACAAAATGTAATTACTGCACTGAAATGTACTTCATCGTGTTATATCGTATTTACAAGAAGTTGATCTCTGTCGGATGAGGCCTACAACTGCAGTACTCAGATTGAGGGGAGTCCAGGGGGAGTGCATTCTCTTTTTGTTGCAGAGGTTCAAGGTTCAAATCCGACAGGCATCTCTGGTTAGTCCAGGAACATTAATTACAAATATGCACCGTCTTCTTAACATCTGATTGTAAAACATACTGTCATTCAAAACGTGTATGCCATTGCATGCTGGCGTTGTGGTTAAAATTTGGCAAATTTGAAACATTACCCACAAATTACACAACTGAGATTACACATCATCTCCCCCTAATAACAGACTCATGCCCTCATGCAGGCTGTTGCAGGACCACCTTATGCTACCCAGGGGCAGTTGCCACTTGGGGGTGCTTGTTGTCTTGAAAAACAAATTATGCTAATTTAAATTAGGCTCGGCTTCGTTATCTATGGGTGTATTACCAATCGTGATAATACAATGTCAAATGTGCAATTTTATGCAATTTTGTAAATGTATGCAATTATACCAATTAGGCTCAGTTTCGTTGTCTAGGGTATATAACCAATCGTGATTATACAATTGAAAATGTGTCATTTTATAAAATTATGCAAATTTATGGAATTATGTAAATGAAATTCCGCAAATTAGGCTTTGCTTCGTTGTCTAGGGTGTATTAGCAATCGTTATAATACAATGATTCTCGCTTTAACTTTTACAGACTAAGTTTTAGTGTAATTCTATCAGGTCTCAGAATTCAGATATCACCTCAGGATACAGTTCTTATAATTAAGATTATTATGCATGAACTTAGGAAGGAACCACTCAGACTCTTCTATGTTAAGCAACTTTAATATCTAAAAACACTCTAATATGTGAACACACTTATGATCGGAATTGTCAACACCGTACTCCTGAAGATGTCCTACTCATTGATCCATACAATTAACCGTCAATGGTTACGTTTGTTAAAACTGAGTAACAGAACAATCGGCAAACTCCTCCGAGGAGCACGACCATACACGGCGATAGGAAAAGT